ACGATGTGGGGGGGGGGAGGGGGGAGTGCGGGTGGTTGGGTTAGGATTTGACCAGGGGGAGGTTATGGGAGTGAGGGGGTGTGGCCGGTTGGGCCGGTGGCCGAACGGGCCGGCCTGCTGGCCGAAGCCCGGCGGGGCCCTTTTTTTGTTAGTTTGTTTTTGTTTTCTGTTTTTATTTCTTTTATTTTATTTATTTTCTTTTCTGTTTTAAATCACTTTAAAATACTTAGGCAATTTCTAAAAATGAGTTTTCTCCATAATAATTACCTAGGCATTTAACTGCACACTCCGAACATTTTTATTTTTAACATTTGAAAACTTTTATTGTTTGCTTGATTTTGAATTTAAATCCGAACCGGTTTTGAACTAACTCGAGATTAGCAACAGTAATTAGGGTGACGTGGTATCATTAGCAGAGGTTCACTGTAGCTTAAATATCCGGGCGTCACAACACCGTTGGATCATATTATTATATTAGAGTGAGGCTCCCCTATTTATTTCATATTTTTTACTTATTTTTAAACCGTTAAATGTTCAGCAAGCCTTAACTAGTTCTCTGGCAAGCTATGATAAACACAGTTTTACCTATGAAATATAATAACACCTTATATATATAGGATGAGTCTATTCCAATAACACTCTTAAGACCCTTATTCTGCTAACACCCCCGACCCACCTGTAGCTACAAACTAACCACGGCAGAACTGGCGAGGCAAAGAAAAAAAACTCACCCCACCTTATCCTCTCCTCCACCTCTCTCTCTCTCTTCCCGTGCCCCACCCTCGCACGACCACCTCCACCCCCGCACAACCACCTCCCTGTGTCGCCGGACCACCTCCCCCGCGCCATTGGACTACCTCCCTGCCCGCGCCGCCGCACCACCTCCCTCCCCGCGCCGCGCCCAACCCCCTGTCCACCTTCTTCCACCGCCATCGCCCGAGCACCACTCCCAGGCCGCTGTCGCGCCGCCCTCCCCGTGCGACCAGGGCTCGCCTGAGCGGCCTTTCTCTCCGTGCTCGCCACAGCAAGCCACCCCACCACCTTCCTCTCTACAGCCGGCTACTGTGAGCCAGCGTCGCTCCGCCGCCTCCATCTCTGCGCGCGGCCGTGGCAAGCCAGCACCACCCACACGCCTTCCTCTCCGCGCCTGGCCGCCGTGAGCAGGCGCCGCCCTGCCATCTTCTTCTTCGCGCCCGACCGCTACGAGGAGAGTTCGTGGTTCTTGCCTTGGAGTACGGGGCGGAGGAAGTGGAGCAGAGGCGGCCGATGTGGAGGTCTTGGATGCAGTCGGAGAAGCAGGGCTGCGGCTGCAGCACGCCCTGCACCTCCACCACCGCCCACTTTGGGCACGCCGCCTCGCCGCACCCGCACCGGACCTGGATCTGCATCGCCGCCTCACCTCGGATCCGATGCGGAGACAGAGAGGAGGAGAGAGACCCTGTCTTCGTGCAGCTCGGTCGCGGTCCCCTATGCAGCTCGGTTGCGGCCCCCGTCTTCATGCAGGTTCGTCGGCCACCGCTTGCCTCTGCTGGCTTCCCTCGTCGTCGACCACGATGCCACAACCACCGGCCTCAAGCGTCCTCTCCTCCCCATCGATTGTTTTTTGCTTTTTCAGATTTCACTTGGGCACATCGCTGCAGTTATGTTGGGGCGTCAATGCGGTGCGGATGGATGTCCAATCCACCGGCAATTGTGCTTGCAGTCTGGTGGCACGAGGCTCGTGGTCGGATCTGCAGTGCAGTGCTATTTGCCCTTCTGCACTGCAGTTCGCCAGCAGATGTGTTGACCCATCCAAGATCAGCTGCACCCCTGGCCCCGCCGACGCAAAGCGGTCCAGTACGTGGGTGCACGCAGCACGCCCCACCGGCGCCATGCAGTCCGGCTGGTGACAACGTGTGGTTCCCATAGTAGTATAGAGTTCACCTTGTACAGAAAAATGTTTGTTTACATTTGCAGCACAATGCATGGTACAGAGGTGCTCACTTTGTAAAAAAAATTGTACAGAGGAGTTCACTTTTTATTATTTTTGGAGGAATCATTTTTGCAAAATTGTATGGACATAGTATATAATTTGGTTGGTGTCGCAGTTAACTTCGTAAAAATAATGTGGTTTGCTTCAATTTGTGTTGCGGTTTACTTTTCCTCAATATAAGATGCTCTTGTTCCATTCAAGTATAATATGGTTCATTTCCTTTTGTGTTGCGGCTCACTTCCGCTAGTGTTGTGGTTCACTTTCGGTTGTCTTCCGGTTCACCTACTCCCAAAAAACATGAAACGCTGAAAATATGTTATGGAAACGACAAAAATGTATCATCGTTCACTTTTCGATAGTGTTGCGGTTCACTCATTCGATGTGAAGCACACTTCACTTCCTTCTCAAAAAAATTTACGTCCGACAAAAAAAAACCATGAAGTTCACTTGCCCATCTGATGCAGTGCGGTTTTCAGTCTTAAGCAGTGCAGATTTCTGTCCGGTGCGGTTCACTTGTCGATTTTGGTGTCGCAGAAAACAGAGTATCCGCATTTTGGTAAATTCAAAATTCCTCTTAAACCGTAAGGAATTAGAGAGATTGCTCTACATGAAAAAGTTGCGCCTCGTCGATATCTTTCCAACGACATATCGTTTGAATCATTCCGACCAGCAGTTTGTAAAAAATTTGCGAAAAACGGCCGCTGCCACTCATCGTCCGCCACACAATTTTTAAAATTAACTTAAAACCGTAAGGAATATTAAAAACAGTTAAACATATGAAAGTTGCGCCTCGTCCATAGATTTTCAACGGTATATTACACGCCTCATTTCGACAAATGGTTAAAAAACTGGAGCGAAAACAGTACCGAAAATTTGATTTTTTTAAAAACAGAATTCCGCGATTTAGTAAATTTGAAACTGCTCTTAAACCGTAACGAATTAGAGAAGATGATACATATGAAAAAGATGCGCCTCGTCGATATCTTTCCAACGGTGTATCATTTGCTTCGTTCCGACGAGCGGTTTATAAAAATCGCGAAAAAACGCTCGCTGCCACTCGTCATGGGCCGCAGCATTTTCAAAACTGCTCTTAAACCGCGTGGAATCTCGAAAAGTGTTCAACATGTAGAAGTTGCGCATAATTCATAGCTTTTCAACAGTATGTTGCACACCTCATTCTGGTAAACGGTTAAAAAACTAGAGCGAAAATAGTACCAAAAAACAACGCGTGCAGTTTTTTCCGACGAGAAGTTCACTCGTGTGAGTACTGCAGCACACTTGGTTCAAAGAATGACGTGCACTTGCATTGAGCGCGTAGTGCAGAAGTGTTATCAGAATAGTTATTCTGCTAATATTAGCAGAATAGACCGGCTATATATATATTCCTTCGACTATGAGATTATGCAACTCCCGGACACCGGAGGAATGCCTTGTGTGCTATCAAACGTCACAACGTAACTGGGTGATTATAAAGATGCACTACAGGTATCTCCGAAGGTGTTTGTTGGGTTGACATAGATCAAGATTAGGATTTGTCACTCTGAGTATCAGAGAGGCATCTCTGGGCCCTCTCGGTAATGCACATCATATGAAGCCTTGCAAGCAATGTGACTAATGAGTTAGTTATGGGATGATGTACTACGGAATGAGTAAAGAGACTTGCTAGTAACGAGATTGAACTAGGTATGAAGATACCGATGATCAAATCTCAGGCAACTAACATACTGATGACAAAGGGAATAACATATGTTGACATTGCGGTTCGACCGATAAAGATCATAGAATATGTGGGAACCAATATGAGCATCTAGGTTCCGCTATTGGTTATTGACCGGAGAAGTGTCTCGGTCATGTCTACATAGTTCTCGAACCCATAGGGTCCGCACACTTAACGTTCAATGACGATATGTATTATATGAGTTGTGTGTTTTGGTGAACGAAGGTTGTTCAGAGTCCCGGATGATTTCACGGACATGACGAGGAGTCTCGAAATGGTCGAGAGGTAAAGATTGATATATTGGAAGGTTATATACATACATCAAAATGGTTCGTAAAGATTCGGGAATTTTTTAGAGTACCAAGAGGTTACCGCGCCCCCCCCCCCCGGGAAAGTTAATGGGCCTCATGGGGCATAGTGGAAAGGAGGAGGCAGGCCAGCGGAGGTGGGGCACCCCCCAAGGGAGTCCGAATTGGACAAGGGGGAGGGTGCCCCGTTTCCTTCTACCTCTCCACCTCTTTCCCCTTCCCCCCTCTCCGTTGGAAGGAAGGGGGTAGCCGACTAAGACTGGGAGTCCTAGTGGGACTCCCCCACTTGGCGCGCCCCTAGGTCTGGCCGGCTTCCCACCTCCTCCTTTATATATGGGGGCAGGGGGCACCCCAAAGGCACATCAATTGTCTTAGCCATATGCCTTGCCCTCCCTCCACCGTTTACTCCTCCGATCATATTATCGTAGTACTTAGGCGAAGCCCTGCGCGGATCACTTCACCAACACCGTCATCACGTCGTCGTGCTGACGGAACTCATCGACTCGTTCGTTCCTCTACTGGATCAAGAGTTCGAGGGACGTCATTGAGATGAACGTGTGCAGAACTCGGAGGTGCCATTCGTTCGGTACTTGATCGGTTGATTCGAGATGTCATTCGACTACATCAATCGTGTTAAGTTAACGCTTCCGCTTTCGGTCTACGAGGGTACGTGAACACACTCGCCCCCTCTCATTGCTATGCATCTCCTAGATAGATCTTGCGTGAGCTTATGATTTTTTTGAAATTACATGCTACGTTTCCCAACAGTGGCTTCCGAGCCAGGTCTGTGCGTAGATGATATGCACGAGTAGAACACAAAGAGAAGTGGGCGTTGATTGTCATACTGCTTACTACCAATTTCTTATTTTGATTCGACGGTATTGTTGGATGAAGCGGCCCGGACAAACCTTACATGACCGCGTTCATGAGACTGGTTCCACCGACAGACATGCAACTAGTTTTGCATAAAGGTGGCTGGCGGGTGTCTGTTTCTCCAACTTTAGTTGAATTGAATTTGACTGCGGCCGGTCCTTGTGAAGGTTAAAACAACAAACTTGATAAATCACCATTGTGGTTTTTTTGCCGTAGGTATGTACGGTTTATGATAGCAGCCCGTAGCAGCCACGTAAAACTTGCAACAAACAAATTAGAGGACATCTAACTTGTTTCTGCATGGCATGTTGTGATGTGATATGGTCAAGACATGATGTGATATAAAGATTGTTGTATGAGATGATCATGTTTTGTAGAAGTTATCGGCAACTGGCAGGAGCCATATGGTTGTCGCTTTATTGTATGAAATACAAGCGCTATGTAATTTCTTTACTTTATCACTAAGCGGTAGTGATAGTCGTAGAAGCAATGGTTGGCGAGACAACCACGACACTACGATGGAGATCAAGGTGTCAAGCCGGTGAAGATGGAGATCATGATGTTGCTTCGATGATGGAGATCAAAAGCACAAGATGATGATGGCCATATCATGTCACATATTTTGATTGCATGTGATGCTTATCTTTTATGCATCTTATTTTGCTTAGTACGGCGGTAGCATTATAAGATGAACCCTCACTAAGTTTCAAGGTATAAGTGTTCTCCTCGAGTATGCACCGTTGCGAAAGTTCTTTGTGCTGAGACACCACGTGATGATCGGGTGTGATAGGCTCTATGTTCAAATGCAATGGATGCAAGCCAGATTTGCACACACAGAATACTCGGGTTAAACTTGACGAGCCTAGCATATACAGATATGGCCTCGGAACACTGGAGACCGAAAGGTCGAACGTGAATCATATAGTAGATATGATCAACATAGTGATGTTCACCATTGAAGACTACTCCATCTCACGTGATGATCGGACATGGTTTAGTTGATTTGGATCACGTATCATTTAGATGACTAGAGGGATGTCTATCTAAGTGGGAGTTCTTAAGTAATATGATTAATTGAACTTAATTTATTATGAACTTAGTCCTGATAATTTTTGCATATCTATGTTGTAGATTAATGGCCCATGATACTGTTCCTTTGGATTTTAATGTGTTCCTAGAGAAAGCTAACTTGAAAGATGATGGTAGAAACTACATGGACTGGGTCCGTAACTTGAGGATTATCCTCATTGTTGCACAAAAGAATTGTGTCCTTGATGCACCGCTAGGTGGAAGGCCTGCTGCAGGAGCAGAAGCTGACGTTGTGAATGTCTGGCAAGCTCGATCTGATGACTACTCATTAGTTCAGTGTGCCATGCTTTATGGCTTAGAATCGAGACTTCAAAGATGTTTTGAATGTCATGGACCATATGAGATGTTCCAGGAGTTTAAGTTGATATTTCAAGCAAATGCCCGAGTTGAGAGATATGAAGTCTCCAACAAGTTGTATAGCTGCAAGATGGAGGAGAACAGTTTTGTTAGTGAGCACATACTCAAAATGTCTGGGTACCATAATCACTTGACTCAACTGGGAGTTAATCTTCCAGATGATTGTGTCATTGACAAAGTTCT